GTTGTCAGGCACTGGAAGAAGCTGCCCAGTGAAGTGGTAGAGCCATCATCCCTGGAGGTATTTAAAAGATGTCTAGACATGGCACCTGGGGACATGGTTTAGCAGTGGACTTGGCAACGTTAGGTTAATGGCTGGATTCGATGATCTTAAGGGTCTTTTCCAACCTAAATGATTCTCCGATTCTAAATAAAATCCTGGCACAGAAGCTGGGGGAGTCTTCTAGAGACTACTCTCCTTCTCCTGAGAAGCATTTTCTCATAAGATTTACTTGTTAATCATCTTAGACATTCCTTCCTGCATGCATCATGCTCTTTTTACCCTCGCTTAAGAACACTACCATATACCAGCAACAGATTCTGAAACATCCTGTCAGCAAGTGAAATGAAGAAACAAAAAAAAGAATTCAGTGAAGATGTAAAGTGCTCTGGCTCTTCACAGGCCCTGATCTGCTCTTTTAAAGTAGTGGAGAAGAAAGGAAGGAACTTATCCCAGAGTGACTGAGGAAACTGCCAAAACCATCTGATTTCAAGCAACCCGGAATCAAGCATTTGGACACAGGGAAGACTTAAGAAACCCACACAGCAATGGTCTCTCTTGCAATTTAACAAACTGCAGAGCAGCTGCTGTAAAGCCATTCTTAGAATATTCTGTGCAGAATCACTGCACCGCAGCAGGAATTTACAATTTCACTGGGCACAAAAGAATCAAGACTTCACTTGCATCAAGCATACAGAAGGGCACACAAAGCCAAGTTAATCAGAAAGGCAGCCCTGATTAACCCATTATATCTTAGGAAACTTTTCAGCCCTCAGTATCATCTTATAATTGTAATACCAATGAAAAAGGCTAAACCTCTCTTTTGCTTTAGCTGAACAACAGCATCAGATCCCATACTCCTCTCTCAGGTCAGGAGAAGCTGTGAGGTTTCAACCCCTGGGTAACAACTGTGTGGGCTGTGACCTTCTGGACCCAGCTCACCTTCATGGTAATGGTCCTCAACGGTGATGATTCTGCCCTTGGTTGCTCTTGCATTTTCAAGTATTGTCTTCTTATCCAGAGGCTTTATAGTGAAGGGATCAATCACACGGATGAAGATTCTTTCTGCAGAAACAGAATGAAATGATTTGCAACATGAACTTGGAGAATGCAAGACAATGCAAGTGGTACAGGCAGCCCCTGTGATCTTTTAGAGCCATTATGAAAACTGTCTACCCTAACTCCTAGGTATCTGTACCTACGGCTTGTCTACCACAGAACCCTAATTTTTGTATGTATTCTTTCTTCATGCACCTTGTGAGACAGTAATATCCATCCATTCCACAGACAAAACTCTTGAGACAGAAAAAACTTGGATAAGTGACTCAAGGTCACTAGAAGTACCCATCAGCAAAACAGTAATCTAACTGGCCTTCCCAAAGGTAAGAGCAGAATCTAGTCACCAGGAAATCCTTCTTATTCAGACTGTCAATCATAATTTTTTTCCCCAGACCTTTATTTTTCCTTTAAATTTATTGTCAAGCCAAACACAATTTCCTCCTGCTTCTTCAGTCTGTAGGTATTCTGAATTCTTCATTGCAGGCTGCCCACCTATCAGGTATGCCTGTTTGAACCGCCCCAGCCCTGATCATGGAGCCCTTAAGGTTCGCATCAAACCCAGAATTTGTCCTGTCATCATCAGGCAGGCCCAGATTACTTTTTAAAACTATGTACAAATGGCAACTGTTTATAAAGAATAGCAAATTACACATGCAAATTACCTGCTGATCAGGTTTTATCTGATCTCGGCTAGCTGAACACTGAGTAAACTCTTATCATACATAAAGAAGTCCTATGTTACGTTGATGGTTTTGTAACTGAAGGCTCTTTAGTGGGTAATATATTTTAGGTATTAAACACTGCCTCTACACTAAGGGATCATCTCTCCATAGCTAGTTATTCATGCTTCAAGATCAGCAGAGCATCTCAAAGCACGGTAAATGCAGAAAAATAACAATAGTTCTGAAAACACAACTTTCAAAATGTCCTAAGCCTGATGGCTCAAGGTCATGACAAAACATCTGTCCATCTAGACACAGCATACAAAGCGACCCATAAGCCACAGACAGCATTAACTGTATTATCTCTTACTATTTCTAATCTCTTCCTAGGTGCAGGCTACTGACTCACAGATGGATTTTTGATGGTTTCTTTCTCTTCTTATTTCATTGATGGATTTTTATTTTTGCTGTGAGATGTCAGTGCATTTCAGCACGATCATAGAACTATTGCCTCCCATGCTAGTTAAAAGTTGATAGACTCATTGAAAAAAACCAAGCTACCAGTGAGCCATATCTACACAAAGGCGCTGCATATCAACAGCATTGCGTAAGAGCACACACAGTTGCTGTGGCTCAGCTGACAAGCTATATTTTGTTAACCGGCCCCAGCCCGATTACATTCTATTGTGCTGGAACCCTAGTCCGCCCGGACAATACGCCAGGGAAGGATCACTCCTGCTTCTTACACACCCTCTCTAAGATTCTGCCTGCAGTGCACTTTCAGACTGATTAGCAATTCTAAGGAGACTTTGATCTGATCAGGTTGGCAATTTTCATGGATACTAATGCTGCTAAGCTAACTAAAACCTACTCAATTAGGCAAGATTGGCAGATATATACTATGTTGCACTGCAACAGCTTAACAGGTGACTAGCTGTCTGCAACATTTTGATTAATGTTTACCAGTACAAAGGGTGAGTAGTTAGGCTGAGTGGTATTGATTTCTTTGCTGTGTTAAATGACAAAAAAGGGAAAAAAATGACCCATAATCTGATCACCTTTTCTCAGCTGCTCTGCTGCAGCCAGAGCCTCATGCAGAGTGACTCCTGCTCCGATCACAGTCACTTGGTCATCCTTACTCTTCAGAACCACCTGCAAGAAAATGTTTCCACATATTTTTAACAATAAATCTTACTGATATTTCTAACACTTCTGGAGATTTTATTAAAAAGATCAAATCTTTGGCATTCGAATGCTTTAGAGGGACAATGGCTTTTAGAAGAGGAACTCTGCATATTTATTCTGATTCTGCTTATCTGGGAAATATTTACCTTTGCCTGTCCAATATGGAAGTCCTCATTGTTGTTGTAAATGACAGGATTTTCAGGACGACTAGTTCTTATGAAACAAATGCCCTGTTTCCAAAGTAAACATGTTAGAAGTTAACAAAACCAGAAAGGTGTTAACAGTTTAGTTTGTAAGCCCTAGAAATAAATACAGCAAAATGACTTTTTCTATTTGTCTGTTTTTTCATCCTTCTACTTTACCTCTGGTTCTACTGAGTAAACCTTCCCCCCACCCCACACTGCCCATTAGTCCTTTTTCAATAGCTGGCCATTTCAGACATTACAATAGTTAACCTCTTAGAGCATGCTAACAACTTACAATTTTTCTTCTGATTTCAAGACCTTTATTTCTCTTTTGTTCTTTTGTGGAAATGGAGAATCCTACTTGAGTTAATTAGAATCTTAGGACTTTGCCATACATGTGCAAATTTTACTCTAGCGACTTTAAAGCAAAAGAAGAAATGCCCAGCTAAAAACAAGGAAAAATGCTTTCCATCAGTTAATGTTCAGATGCCCTTCCAAAAGAAGTAACAAACCAGTACTTAAATCTAATCTCTCCCTCACAATACTTTACACTACTTTCTCTCCCTTCCCATCTTTTTTTCACAAACCACTCATCACATTTGTAGCATACCAAATTTCCACACTCCTTCACTTAAAAGCTGTACTAGCAAGGTTGAAGTTTTTCAGATTATTTGCTCCTTTCTCAAGGTAAACTCCTATGGCAGCCAAATGAAGTACCAATCAAGGAGATGATCTGACCCAATACTACCAATGATGTTTGACCATTACTATGTCAAGTTAGCTGAAGGTAAGAGAGATCAGAAACTCTGTCACAGTCTCATGGGAAGTCTTAGTTGTATTCAGCCACAGCCTAGTTTCATTGGCAACAGAGAAGCAAAAGATGACCAGTGAGATTGTCAACTAGTACAAGCACCAGCTCTCAGTATCTCCAAAAGATGTAGGCTGTCTTAGACTAACAGACGACCTGACTTCTGAGCTTTCATGTAAGGGCACTTGATGATCAAAATCCTCAAGCTAAAATTATCTTTCCATATCCAGTTTCAATTTTGACCTCAATGATATCATACTAGAAGTGTATTTTCTCTAAGTTTGCTAAAGACCAACAAGAGTTACACTTGCCTTTATTTCTGAGACAATTAAGACCCAAACTGCAACTGCTGTGTTATCATTTCCATCTCCCCAAATCTGGCGTACAGCATTCCAGGCTGTTCATTCTGCACTAGTGTGGACAGAATGTCTGTAACCTTTCTGTGCAAAGAAAACATCCCACTACCATGCTGGAGCCTTTGAAAGAATTTATGTGGGTAGAGACATGCAAGAAACATGCCAGACGCAACAAAAGTAGTAAAAAGAAAATATTCTCTGACTCAGAAATACTGTGACGCAAACCTTGGTGTTGGCAGCTATTTCCACTGCTTTTTCAGTGGCTACAGCATCGCTAGGGTAAAACACAGTGGCAGTGGGAACAGCTCGGAACATGCAGAGATCCTCCAGTCCCATCTGAGATGGTCCATCCTCACCTGAAAGAATTAAACCAGAGTTACAAAAGAATAAGTGCACATTTCTGACAATTACTCAATATAGCAGTGAGGTTCAATGTCAACCAGGGGGGGGAAAAAAAAAAAAAGTATAAAATCAGGCACACACAGGACATGCAAGTCTACCTGCTTGAGAAAAGAATCATCTTCTCCTTAAACTTGGAATCATCTAAACAGTACATAAAGATAGAAAGAGACTAAAAAGAAAGAGAACTGGGGTTAAAAAGAAAAAATAGAAAATAAAGTATAGCAATTAAACAACACAAAAGGAAGACAACCAAAGTAGGAAGGATATAAATACAGAAAGAGGGTCACAAGATATCCAAGCATCTTCAGATTTACATGTACTGAGGCTGAAGAAGCAAAATTTATACTTGTCAATGGTGTTCCTCTAGATTTAAATTGCTGGAAATGTGAAAGAATTGCAAGCGTTCCATTAGAAATGGAGAATGCACTTGGTACAACTACTCTCAAATTCTTGGGCTCATTTCAAGATTAAATGAAGGGTATGTATTTTTCAATACTATAAAAAGTCTTTTAAAGAGCAATAGGGCACCCATGTCGTTAATTTAACAACTCAAGTGCCTTATGGCATAAACTGCAGATCTATAAAAACTAATTGTTAGCCAGAACATGTGCTGGATGTCATGATTTTCCATAGCTAAAAAAACACCCCCACAACACACCCCACCCCCAATGACCTTATGTAAGGGTGTTTTGGGAATGGCACTGTTCCAAACTAACCATGCAAGGAGTTCTGAATCCAGTCATGTCACAGCCTGCAGAGCAGAAGCAGGCCAATAAACCTTCCCACATGCACCCGCTACCTGGTACTCAAGAAGGACGAGTTCACAAGGAAGGAGCAGAGTATTTTCATAAGAGCAGCACAAAACTCTGAAGAACTTTAAATATGTTAAAGAAATCAATCATTGAACTCTGCCACTATACATTACTAATAAAGTAAGCATGAACCAGGAAAAGAGAGCATCTTGGCTTTCAGTCATGACATGAAAAAAACCTCTCAACATCACAATTTCTAAATCTGTATGCACTCTGACTGAATGAGTGGGATTTCAGTGGGCGTCTTCCTTTCCTAAAATGCACGCACATAATGTATGCATAGAAGAAACATGAAATTATGAAGAATAAAATTAACAGGTACCTGAATCAGAATCTTACCCAAGGTAAAGAGAGTATTCATGCCTGTCCTACTTTTGCTAAGGTGGTGCCAATAATACCAGCATTCACAGTTCATACCAGTAATTTACAGACTAGCACTAAGTTGAGTTCAGCCCCAAGTGCATCTTTATGAAAATCCTGACTTATGTGGTTTTAGAGTAATGCAGATCAAAAAAGAATAATTTTCAATTACATCTGCAAAAACCTACATTTATAGCTTAATAAAAAAAAAGTGAGTGCTTAATATGAACAGTCTCAAATGTCTAGAATACAAAACTGGTTGTCTAAAACAACTAACATTTCTATTTTTGACACATGTACACTGTTAT